AATTTGAACACCTTGCTTTAAAAATGTTTATTTGTGATCGTTTGATTCTCTGACAAACAAAAGTTAGAGAGACAGGAGTTTGGGATTCCATCCGTTGTGTTTGTGTCAGAAAAGTCAAGGGCGATTCTGTTGTTCGATAGAAACTCCCGCTTGGACAGGGCCGATAAGAGGACACTGTGACATTTAGGTGACCTTCAGGCCTTGACCAGTGACCTCCCATGGGATCAAAATCTTTACAACGGACAGTGACCTGCCGGATAGTTCTTCAGAACTTCAGATACATTTTCTCTGAGGTCTCGTTGATTTACGGTTTTCTCCGATAGCGGTGACATCTGGCCTCACCGGAGTTCTGTTGCAGTTTGTGCGTTTGACCTTTGTGGTATATCACAAGTTTTAGAGCTCCATCCCTGGATCACAATTACCACTACATACTAGGATAGCGAAATAAACAAATAACGCATAGCTTCAGTGTACTGTGAACCAGTCATAATTGACATAACAAAAACAATGCCTTTAAAGACTATTCTCATCCTGTGACAAAGAAAAGAGCCCATCTCCAGCTATCTCGGCACAACACAGGGTCCCGTGGGACACACAGTTAATGCGATCAGATATGTGCTCTATTATGTAATATTCATATAATGTAATAAAGGAAACCATATATCTCAGTAATTACGAAAATATCCCTAAAAGTGATTGCTGTATATATAAGCTCTCCTTTAGCGGATCGACTCCCCTGGCATGTTATCTGTATATTTGCCCAATTTCTACCATTTCCAGTCGCTTCTGAAGCCTGGTAAAGCTAGATTTTGTTATCTGTGGTCCATTCGACTCGTAGGCTCGCTCTACCTATTTATGACCCAAAAAATAAGATACCTCGCTTAGCTTGTTTTTGGCCTATTTCAAACACTTGAAATGATGACGAACATGTGCTAAGAAATGGCTGTAAATATTAATATCAGATCAGACAGATTTCTTCATCCAGAATATTTATGTTTACCGAAGGAAAACATTCAATTTGTTTTTGCTCAGTTTCTTCTTCTTTTCCAAACAGTGAACTCAATGGCCTGAACCAATGCTGTGTCTGTTACCATGGTAATCAGTGTTGGGTTACATCATGTTGCAATTTTATAGCAGGAGGGATTTAGACTCCTGTCTGACCATATATATGAATGTCTTTGAGTAAGAATTAACAGAGCAGACCATATGTGAAGGTAAGCATTGTGCATTTGCCTTGCAAATGTTACTTCTACTTTGTTTTGTTTTTCCGCTCTGAAAGGGCATTGATGTCTTTAAAACCCATGTACAGAAAACCTTTATATGCTCGCCAGCCAGCCTGTTGACTTAGCCTCCGTAGCTGGCTTATAAATACATGTAGAACTGGGGGTTTGGTGGTCTTCGGCTGTTTACTGATTAGCCCAGTTCTAAAAACGGGGGTAATTCAACCAGGCCGGCTATGTTGTCTATATGCAATCAGAAAATAGCACATAAAAGATCCCAAAGACCCTGAAGACCCCAAACCCCTAGTTTTTATCATGCTATGGAGGCTACTGTTGACTGTCACCCTAATCACTCCTGACACACTGACTACCTACATGCCGGGTAACAATTGTCAGGACTGGTCCTCACGCTACAGGGAGGCGACAGTGCCACAACCTCTGAGGAAAGGTCAGCGCACCTGTCTGAAGCCCCTGTCACACATCATATGGCTTTCCGAACACCCAATGCACGAAATCCTATCTTTAAGCAGCACACTTTAAACGTGCGTAAATGTACGCGCGAAGGAAGAAACGGAATATTTACGCATGTTTTAGGTGTGTTGTTGGGGACTGGTTGGCAGGTGGTTGGGAGTAGGTCAGCAGTTGTTGTAACTTGGTTGTCAGTCAAATTTGACTCAAATTTAACTCAAATTTGATTTGATTTGTATCGAACGTTAGATCTGGCCACTCTGTTCCCAAACCACAGTCAACCTTGGTTGGTTGGTTGGTTGGTTGGTTGGTTGGTTGGTTGGTTGGTTGGTTGGTTGGTTGGTTGGTTGGTTGGTTGGTTGGTTGGTTGGTTGGTTGGTTGGTTGGTGGTCGAGGGAAGGTTCTAAATGTGTGACAGGGGCTTGAAACCTTGAAAGTACTTCAACGTTCACTCAATACAGCTGTGGTGTCACCCAAAAAGGATGGATAGCTTTTTTCACAAAGGTAGATCAAAACTAATATACGGTTTCACGTGTCTGCCATGATTATAACCCTTAAGGATTTCAAATATACGAGTGGACGCCTTGCCCTTCTCTATTATGCATAATATGATACACTCAAGCAACTGGATATGATTTTGGGAACGGTCAGACGTTTCAGATAGTATCCACTAGTAAAATGCAAGTAAAGTGAAGACAATTTTTTTTGGAAGTCGAAAAGGGAACAAAAGTCAGATATGTCAAGACAAGATAATGCAAATTAGTCAGAAAGCTCATGTTATGCAGAACAGGAGCTTAAGTGTTGTCTGTCCAGTTGCTTGAGCAGCTGCTTTTTTGGTGTATGGTATTACCTGGATGTCTAACCTTCATCGACGTATGCATAATATGGGGCCAGTTTGATGTTGGGTCTGCTTGCTTCTCGGTGATGGGTGCATGGAACACCGGAGTCATGTCAACACGCAATCCGGTACTTAGTGGGGAGGGAAACTGTCAGGACTCGATGTGAAGAAACTCAACAAAAGTGCTAAAAGCCCTGCCCTCGCTGAATTATTAACCCAGACGTGTTCAATTATTTAGCCGTCCGGTGTGAGTGTAGAGACTGAAGTAAGTTTTAGAGTAGACACGAAAGAAAACTTTTGCTTAATGTTTCTTCTGAAGTAACTCAAGGTATTGACCCCCCCCCCAGGTTTCATCACTGGTAAAAAGCACTTCCATCAAAAACAAAAAAGATAACCCGCTTCTACATTATGGTATTATACCTCCAAAGGACCAAAGTTCACTCACTGCATGAAATCCTGTCAATAAGCAAACCGTTAAAATACGTAAAGTTGCGTAAAGGTGCCGTGTTTTCCTTTGCGCATACCTTTACACATGTTTTAAGGTGTGTTGAAAGAACCTGTCACTGTAAAAAAAACTATTCTTCAAGCACGCCTTAAAAGATGCGTAAAGGTGCCGTTTCTTCCTTCGTGCGTACCTTTACGCATGTTTAAGGTGTGCTTAAAGATAGGAATTCGTGCAGCTAGGAGTTACTATCACTTGTTAAATCTTTCTTATCTAGATAGCTTTACACTTTCTCACTCATACTCACTTACCTGTCATCTCTATCTCTGATATGTACCTTCAAACGGATAACGATATTTACGATAATGCATTTTGTTACCAAGAGGCATGTCTTGTGTAATGTTGTTTCTCGGAGCTTTCATATCTCATGTTTGATAAGGCCACAGCAAGTAAATTTTATGGATGACATCCTCCACAGACTCCAAATCTAATGCAAGTAGGCAACAAGATGGGCCGAAAAAAACAAGGTTCCTACATTTTAAAATTTTGACTGATTCAGTGGGAACATCACATATACACAGCCACCATCTCATATCACTGCATCAAAGTAAGAAACAAAACATTACATCAGTGCCTTTTCTTATCTCCTCTCTTTATAGTTATCCTCCATCATCCTTCCGGCATGGCAACAGACATATTTGCCCATTTTCGGCATGTTGACCACTGTCAGAAGGCAACAAAATCTCTTGTTTTTTTTCCAAAATCAGGCGAAAATTAATGCGCGCTGATGTCATCCATAAAAATTACTTGCTGTGGCCTAACCGCCACTGTAACAGCACGCGTACTCCATAGACCCCCAGGCGTTAGGATGAGTGCGTTCCATATTGCCGTATTACTTGATGACCTGTTGGAGAGTGCTTCCCGATTGGTTTGGAGTACTTAGGCCAGGTTGAGTTGATTATGTGGATGACGTCCTCTGGGAACTCAAAAACTGACGTGAGCGTGCGAATAAAAAAAGTTTGGCAGAAAAAAAGTTGCCTTCATTATGAAACGTAGGTGGTCATGAAGGTTGAACATATGACTAAGCACACAGAGTATGGTATGTCCAAGGACATTATATTCTGTATAATGTATGTCGAATAATAGAATCTTTATTTTCATGTCTTGACATTTTCTTTTTTTTCTGGAATTTATTTTGGCATTCTACGACATTAGTATTATTTTCCAATATTTTTTTACAATTTACGGCAAATATTTGCTCATTTTGAAGCTGCTTTGTACGATTTACAGTATGGTCGATTTTCGGAGGAAAGGCACGAAAATTCATGCGCGCGGGACGTCATCCATTGAATCAAATTAACATGGCCTTAGGCTTTGATTCTACGTGATCCCCCAAGCTAGTCACTCTCATGGTTCCTGTCTCCCCGTACGTGTGTTAGGATCATACACACATCATTCATCATGTTGACTTCCCAGATTTGACGTGACAATAACTTCATGATTAACGAGATGTGACCAAAATGACTGATGTGATGGGTTCGTACCCATAGCTCTGGTGTAGCGGTGGGGCTTTCTTTGTCTTCCGCCTTGAACAGTTATTAAATGTTACTTCTAATTACTTTGTCATCAGCGAGACGGAGGTTTTCCACCTGGGGACTGCAGAGGAGGGTTTGGTGGTATCCCGTGGTGCTTTGCAGTCAGGTCACGTCTGTTGCACAGTCGTATGATTATGATTACCTCGCCAGTATATCACACTTCTGCAATACTTTTATTGAAGAAAAATCCATATTCTTTAAGCACATGCTATACCGAAGCTCAGACTGGGTTTGTTAATTAAAAGTTTTTATTAATACCTTTGTCTCAGTTATTATTGGATGAGTGGTGGCTAACATGTGACAGTTATTGTCGTGATGACATTGTATGGAACAGAAACAAGTAACACCATAAATGAAATGTTTACCACTTTGTGGTATTACAGATTGTTTTCTTTTATCCATGATGACCATAGCATTCATTATTTCAATTTTGGGGGCTTTTCTTTAAGCGTGTGCGCTTTCTCTGCAAAATGATTTGTTTAACGAGGTCTTAAAGCATGCGAAAAGGTGTAATTTCTTCCCTCGCGTGTACCTTTACTCATACTTTAAAGACAAGATTTCGTGCTGCATTCTATTTGGATTATACACTTTTATAGCAGTGTGTAGTTAGCAAATGTTACGAACCTACGAATCCTGGTTACGCAAAAAGCTTACTAAGAGAAAAAATCATGTTCTGTGAATTGGACGCCATTCCTTCTTCGAGTAGTAGACACGTTACTCACTGCAAAAATCCATTCTAGAAGCACGCCGTAAAGCATGCGTAAAGGTGTCGTTTCTTCCTTCGCTTGTACCTTTACGCATGCTGTAAAGTTTGTTTTAAGATAGGATTTCGTGTAGCGAACGTTACTCGCAGATGATGCCGGTCACTCGTCGTCGTCGTCCCCGTCCATCACGGTACACTTCTCCGGGCAGTAGAGATAGCGGTACGGCTTCTCCTTCTTGCTCTTCCCCTTCCCCTTGCCCTTGCCTTTGGTGGCGTTGGGAGCGAAGTCGAACGCCGTGTCAGACCGCGGGGGCCCAGGTACGGGCGCGGGAGGGCGTACGGCAGGGCGTACGGGTACGGGAGGGCGTTTCGGCACCAGGGGAGGCCCAGCCGGCACGACGGGGACGCTAGCGCCGCCGAGCGGACCCGGAAGCGGCCCGGGCGCGTAGTGAACCGGTAACACGATGTGTCCGGTACGTCCGGTGTTCCTAAAAGAAGAACAAGAAATTTTATTGCCGCTGCAAAGATCCATTCCTTGTGCCATTTCTTCCTTCTTTTTACATGCCGACGGCACACTCAAGTTTTTTTTCCTTCAACTTTTTGCAACTCAGTTTTTAATGCCGCCGCCAACGCAGACAAACGCATGAACGAACAAGAATTCGGAGATCTCATACCTCCATGAAATATATAAGTTAATTCTGTTAATACTTACTCAAACACATTCATATAGTATATGGCGACAGGAGTGTAAATCCCTCCTGCTATAAAATTGCAACATGATGTAACCCAACACTAGTTACCTTAGTGACAGACGTCCGGTTCAGGTCATTGACCTTATTTGTTTGGAGAAGAAGAGAAGAGGAAAAAGAAACAGAGCAAAAACAACATGTTTTCCTTCTGAGAAGGTAAACATAAATGCTGCTAATATAACCTTTTACATCAGGCATAGAGTAAATGGAACAGTTTAAAAGCACAAGTACATACGTGTTGGTGGGTTTCTTTTCCTTTTTCTTCTTGGGTTTGGCCCAAGGCCATATCCAGGGGCTGTGAAAACAGTTTGTAAAGTTAAGCAACTTGCTCATTACATTGCATCATTCAAAGTGTTCCTGTTACTGGGTGTTTGACAAAACAAAACGTGGTGTAGTGTAGAGTTTTTTCAGATCAAGGAAATACCAACTTGTGAATGGAATAAAACAACATATATATGGATGTTGATATAATTTCTAAGCTGGAATATATAATATTACTGGTGCTAAAATACTGACCGCAAAAAAATCTTTCAGCAAGCCTTAAAGCGTGTGTAAAGATACCTTGTCTTCCTTCGTGTGTAGCTTTACGCATGTTTTAAGGTCTGCTTAAAATAGGATTTCGTGCTATGTTCGCTAGCTAGCTAGGCAAAGTAAAGGTTAATCTTATCAAAGTTGTGACTTAAATTAAAAGACATACTCGGATTTTTCGGCACTATCTTCGTCCTCGTTGCCTTTGGCCTTCGCCTCTTTGGCCTTCGCCTGTTTGGACTCTTTGAACATCCAAAAGGCATCCGAGGTGCCGGCCAAGAAGATGGCAACACCAGCGAGTAGCACGAGCAGACGCATGGCTGGAGACCTCTGTAGATATACAAAGTAAGAAGATAAAGTTGATGTCGCACATTCAGAACCTTCCCCTGACCACCAACCAACCAACCAACCAAGGTCGGCGGTAGGTCGCAGTCCCGGTAAACCGCATTTTGCTTAGGCGTAACACACCAGTTCTGTACATGTAAGTACAAGCTGTGTAAGACCAGACTGTAAGGTTTGAACCACTCACACCGGGGAGAATCCCTACTCTTTTCCATAAATGCGTGGGGTATGGCTCTCCCAAACACGGGACCTCAATTTAATGTCCTATCCGAGGGACGACGCTAACTGAAGCTAGGTACTCATTTCCACCGGAGTGAAGTGAGGAAAGTCGTGTCAAGTCGTCCCATCCGGCAGGATTCGAACCCGGGGCCTCTTGGATCCGAGCCGAACACTGGCGTTACCCCACACGACCCAACTTGAATCAATTTTGAGTTAAATGTGAGTCAAGTTGGACTGCAAACAAACACTGCTGACCTACTCCCAACCACCAGCCAACTAGTTCCCAACCATAGTCGAACATGCACTCCGCAACGTTCGACTGGCGCAGCCGAACAGTACATGAAGCCAACCTCGCCGAACACCAGCCAACCTTGCTCCCGACCTACACCCAACCATGGTTCTTCAGTGTTTGGGAGACCATATTCGTGGCAGGGGCGGTATAGACAGTTGTGTACAGACATAGTGTCAACGCAAGAATTATATCCTTCTGCCACTTGTCAAATAAAGTTGAAAGAACTTTGAACAATTGTGGCGATCAACTACTTCACGACTATATATAGATCTAGTACCAAGCTGTTTGTAGCAAAGAACAAAATACGTACCTCGTGTGTAGACCAATGTGGGTAATATTTGGAGAGTACGACAATCTAGTAGATAAAACGAAGACTACGGCATTTAAGAAATAAGGAAATACGTCTAGAAGAACCAGACAAGACTCGTCTTACCTCAAAGACTCCCTCCCAGATCAAACGTTCAGTGGTCTGCACTCCAAATTGGCCTCCGATTCGAGATATGATTCTGTGAGTATTTCTTTGCCGTGAACCTGCCTTTTATACAGAAATGTCGCGCAACTTTCCCGTGAGAAAGAATTTGTTATTAATTCATAAAACTTTCAGCAAAAATCTCATTACATGAGCGGTCACAATAGTCGATCTCTTCACTGTCTTAATTTTTCTGTGATGCAAATATTACATTTTCTAGTTGTTATAATATTGAGTCACAAGAAATTGTGTTTGCTAGACCACACAGGGACTATGTGTTGACATCAAAGAGTTTGAAATTGAACTGTAAAACTCAGTCAAGCGTGGATTACAGCCAGTCGCTGATAGCTATGGCGTTGACATTCTTGTACCTGTAGCTAAGCTATGGTTTTGGTTGATTGAATTAAAGATATACACATTGCAACTTGCTTCGTTTTTATGATGAAATGTTTATATTCATGCCATTGATGTGTAGGTTCATGTAGGTCTGAAGAAATCTATCTGATATTCTCATTTACTGCAATTTCTTAGCACGTATTCGTCATAATTTCGTACTTGAAACGTTTGAAATATTTCAGAAACAAGCTACGCAAGGTGTCCCTTTATTTTTGGGTACCACCAATAAATATCTAGAACAAGCCTGCCATACGAAACAAGCAATCATTTTCCGTCAGCGACACCGCATTTTTACCTCTCAGATATCGCAGTACCAGTATGCTATGGGATAGGGTTGATTCAACTTAGGACATGTTGATTTGATTGTATGGATGACATCCGCGCGCGCATGAATTTTCGGCCGTTTAAAAAAAAAGACGTTTTCAACCATACTGTAAATCGTACAAAACAGTTGCAAAATGAGCAAATATATACCGTAAGTTGCACAAAAAATATTGGAAAACGATACCAAATGTCGTTGAATGCCAAAATCAAACGAAAAAGACCAAAATTTAAAGAAATGAATTTGAAGGGTAGATTATTTGCCTTACTATATCCTGTGTCATTTGTTCAACCTTCATAACCACGCAGATTTCATAATGAAAGCAATGTTTTTGCCAAACTTTTTTTATTCGCACGCTCGCATCAGTTTTGGGCTTACCAGAGGATGTCATCCATATAATCAACTCAACATGGCCTAACTACGTAAAAAATGATCAGGAAATCGACTTTGAAAATGTAGTTTTCCTGCGTTGCAATCGCTTCGGGTGCCTTTAAGAATGTAATAATATACTGATACTCTAATCTGCCTTCGGGTACTTCCTAAGTATAATCCTTAGCGAAACGACACAGCGGATTTTTCAATTTGCTCTTGGTGACGTTTTTTTTTAGCCCGATATGTCTCAATCCTTCTAAACGACGTCATCGCCAAATCCGTCATGTTTTTTATCGATGATCAGTCACCCAGGCCTAACGACGTGGTCTCATTCTGTCAAGCGGTCGCCAGTTCTTTCAAAGCCCGTAGACGTCTATTAGGTCGTGCCCCAGATGTATACGTACAAGCGCTAGAGTTGCCTTTGTGACTGTATATGTCTCTGCATTTCTATCAAAGCAGTTCTGTCAAAGCTTGTACACGTCTATTAGGCCGTGCCCTAGATGTGTACATGCGTTAGACATGCTTTTGTTGGTTGTATATCACTGTAACATATTTACAGTGTACTAGAAGACCTGTTTTATATCGCCCCTTGTTGCATTTCTATCAAAGCAGTTCTTTCAAATTAAAGCTTGTACACATCTATTAGGTCGTCCCTAGATGTGTACAAGCTTTAGGCCTGTCTCTGTGACTACATGTATATTATCACTGTAACATATTTTCAGTGTACTGACAGACCCTTTCTAGTTCCCCTTGTTGTATTTCTATCAACGCAGTTCTGTCAAAGCCTGTACACGTCTATTAGGTCGTGCCCTAGATGTGTACAAGCGTTAGGCCTGCCTCTGTGGCTGTATATTATCACTGGAACATATTTACAGTCACTGACAGACCTGTTTTATAGTACCCCTTGTAGTATTTCTATCAAAGCTGTCAAGAAAGTTAATTATACATGTGTAGTCGTGTTAATGATGAAATGGTGTAGTTCTTTCGGTGCATGAATTTTGATCTTTAAGCATACCTTAAAGCGTGCTTAAAGGTGATGTTTCTTTTCTGGAAAAGAGGTACACTTACGCATACTGCATGCGTGCAGTCATGTAAATGCAGAAATGATCTTTAAGCACAAATTAAAGCATGCGTAAAGGTTCTGTTTCTTCACTCGTAAAGTGGTACCTTTACGCATATGTTAATGTATGCGTAAATGTAGGATTTTTTGTAATGCTTGAATCTCATGTTCACGTTTGGGTATATTATTAAAGCTCTAACAGGGGCTATATTATGACTTCAGTATACTATCCCAGTAAAACACGTTTCTTTATTAGTAGGTTAATAAACGTCTATAAGTCATCAGCGATCACACATTGAAGGACTTAGCGGCTTTACGGATTTCCTTTGCAGGATAAAGAATTAATTCCTCAACTAGATCTCTTAAAGCCTTCGGCTGACCGCAAAGCTAATTTTAGCAATTTGTGAGTTGGTTTGAAAAACTAGATCACTGTTTCAAGGAGTGGAAGCTTTCGCTTGGACTAAAATCAGACCATGATGTACAAAATGACTAATAAACTGGTGGACGTACCAAATACTAAGTACCTAATACCCGCCCAGAAAAGAACAAGAAATAGCCATGCCTTCAAGTACCAGAGTTATCAAGGTGTCAAAACTTCATTCTTTCCTAGAACTATCGCAGAGTGGAACTCGCTGCCACCAAGTACAGTAGGGGCATTATATCTATAGACAGCTTTAAACAACGTTTAGAGTTAGATATTCAAGGGTGTAACAAGTCGTTCGGTGTAATGCAGCCAGCTGCTGCCGCGCCGCGTGCCTGCGAATCTGCATGTGTTACGCCGAAGGCTGGTTATACCGGCTATACAGATACAAATACAGATACAGACCCATTCGCACGGATTGAAAAAGCAACTACATATTACGTGCTGCTATGCTGTTAATGCAATAATACTTTCCCCCCGAAGGCTGGCTTTGAAAAGTAGGACATCTTTATTAGTTTAGGACACTGTTGACGCATTGACAAAAAAACGGATGAAGAAATCTGTCTGATATTGACATGTACTGCAATATCTTCGTCATCACTTCATACTTGAAGCGTTTGAAATAAACTCAAACTAGAAAGGTAACATTTGCAAAGCAAATGCACAATGTTTACCTTCGCATGTGGTCTGCTCTGTTAATTCTTACTCAAACACATTCACATATAGGAGTATAAATCCCTCTTACTATAAAATTGCAACATTATGTAACCCAGCACCAGTTACCATGGTGATAGACGGTCTGGTTCAGGTTATTGACAAGCGGAAGAAGAAGAAGAGGAAACTTCTCAAAAACAATATGTTTTCCTTCGGTAAACATAACAAGGCTACGTGGCGAGTCCCTTGATTTTTTGGTACCACCAATAAATAGCTGGATTGCAATTTTTTTCCATCACGGAATTCGAATGCAGACGTGGGATAATTGATTCATTACAAATACTGTACTAGAAAGTGACCAAAAAATTTGACTTTAAAAATCCAGTTTTACTGTTCCTTCGCGTGTAGCTTTACGCATACTTTAAGCTGTGCTTAAAGATAGTATTATCATTATAGCGTGATACGGCGGAAATCATATTTTAAATGGGTCGTGAGAAACGTGACGATAACGTAAAGTGAAAGGTCGAAGAATGGGCCTTTAATGGTTACCAATAGAATTAGGTCAAGCAACTTTTTCCATTAGTCGGCAGTAACTTTCCGGCTTGATTGAAAAACAAGGGAACTAAATCACTGCACGTGGCCGAAGTGGGTCACAGGAAACGATAAAATAAGTGCCTCCGCATCAACTTGATTTGAATTTCATATCGGAAGAGCTGGAAATGTTTTTAACGGCTTAGCACAGGTGCATAAAACGTAACCCCTGTCACACAT